TGTGGTGTGTGTGTGTGTGTGTGTGTGTGTGTGTGTGTTGTGTGTGTGTTGTGTGTTGTGTGTGTGGAAGAATGTGTGACTGCTCGTGAAGCCGATTAACAACACCGATATCTCTAAGGTGGTTGAAATACAATCAGCTGTGCAAGTGCACCCATCAAGCAAACAATATTATGGACTCTTGGGGCAATCATGCCAGAAGGTGATTTTCCTCACTTCCAGCAGGAACAGTGGATGAAGGGAAATCTGATAGCTTGTTGTTTCCCACAAAAAGGAGCTGGGAGAGTTTAATAAACACGTTGCCATGTGAACCCACCGAGCCAACCTGCATCCGCCTTGGATTAAATTCAGATAAAGATGGGGGCAATCAAAGAGGTAAAACATCCTTAATCAGTTGGTAATATTTGTTAACAGAGGATTAGGTGTTACATTTCTCTTCGATTTAATCATGCAAAAAAAAAAAAAAAAAACAACCCTAAGTTCTTTTGAAGAAGTAATAGACATTTTTTACTCGACACCTCAGCAAATGGCAGCATAATGTTTTGGTTCTTGACAAATTTAATCAGGCAAGCAATGATTTAGCCTGACAGCTGGGACAGTCGTACTTCTCACTCGACTTTATAAAACATATCTCTCTCTTCACACACACACACACTTTGTATCTGATTTCCAGTCTGATTACCTACTGTCCATGTGATATCTGATTGTTAGTGATGTGTTATTTTCGTTCCAGACCAGTGGCCAGTGTGAGCTTATCCATCCTGACAGAGACAGGCCAGAGCTCAACGCCCGCAGTCATCCAAACCCAGAGCCAAGTGTTCTGGCTCCCTGCACCCTGCTCCTCATCATCATCATCTGCCTCCTCCTCTTCCTCTGCCTTAACGTTCCCAGAGCCCGCAGCCAAAAGAAGCAAGCGGCACAATGCCGGCAGACTCAATGATCTCAACACATGCAGACTGGCTGTGACTGCTGTGACCAAGCTGACACCTCTGCTGAACTCTGGCTGTGTCAAGTGCTGTGTCATGCTCCATTATGCCCAGAGACAAGATGCTTTTGCTGTTGTGAGCAACCTAACACCAGTTGTCCTCCATTGTGGTCAAGTTGATTTAGACATCCACAGTGATTTCCACACCCAACTGCTGAAAAACCCCGAACTCAAAACAGGTAAAAATCACAAATGCCTACGACGTGAGATTTAAAATCTGACACATAGATGTTCATTATTGTTTTCTTTTTGTACCCAGATGAGGTTGAAGAGGACTTACTGAGTTTGATTGCGGTGCTGGATCACTGGGTCTTCCACATAGACTCTCCTGATCACAGCTTAGGTGATATAGATGGCTGGATTCAGAAAAGAGTCGGTTGTCAGAGGATAGAAGTGAGCCCTCAGTATCTACTGTTAAATTCTTCAGGACCATCTGCTCTCATGCTGCTGCGCTGGCATCAGATAACCCCTTTCCAGGGGGAGTTGTCTGTCCACTCCAGGTAAATCATTTTTATTTACAGATACCAGTAAGATGGCTGTATCACTTGAGTTTCAGCCATCATCATATTATCAGTTCATAATTCTTCATTCTTCTGCCATGTTTGCAAACATATTGACTTGCTAGCAGTCTTCTTCTCCTCTGCCTTTGCTGTGGTGCATTTGTAGATCAGTGGAATAGTGTAAAACCATTGACAAACCATTGTATTGCATCACACAAGTGGGACCCAATCAGAAAACTCAGAGAAGAAATGCTCCGTAGCGCTACTAAAGGTCACAAACTGCACACATCTTTTTCTTCAAGTCTTAATTTGACCTTTTATATTCTATTGTCGGAATGTTGTTTTCATATTCTTTCATGAAGAACTTCCTTTTGTTTGCATTATTTCAAATGTTATATGCTGCTATTTTGATAGTCACGTAGATAGAAAAACAGAATAATTTGTCTATTAGAGAGATTTTCTTTTAATTTGCAAGCTATTACTGCTCTGTGTTTTGGTTCAAACTCTACTACCAGGGACTCTCTGGAATTATTCAATTATATTCAAGAACTAAGCAAGGTAGCTCCGCAAGAGGACACCGCTCAATTTATATTAATGTTTTCCAAATTGACAAGGCTTTGAAGTTGACTAGGATGCATGTCGGTGGGATATTCCACTGAATATCAAGTGATTAGGATTCTCTGGGAAACGGAGCACTTAGAATGACAAATTCTGCAAATAAACTAAACCGGTAGGTGGGTGTGAAGCAGCTGAGAAATGACAGAAATGATAAAAGAAGACATCAAGAAACGACAAGGTATTACAACATATCATATAATAACATGTCAAATGTGGCCGTGTTGTTGCTTTGCAGCCACATGCAGATGCTCCGGTTCCTGGACTCTCTCTTGACGTACCTGCCTGTGTCCTGCTCCATGCAGCCTGTCAAAGGTACAAGAGGACAACGTACAGCTCAAATATTGTCTTTGGCACTGGAGAAAGAGGTGGCCTCACTCAGAGAGGGTGTGTCACTGCTACTGTGTGAAGAAGAGGAGGAGAAGAAGAAGAGTCTTGGACATGAGGACACCCCTGAGCCAGTTTCCGTAGAGGGGCTCCAGAGGTGTAGAGAGGTGTGGCAGCAGGAGGTGGAGAGGGGTAGGATGAGGTTGAGCCCCCTGGTGGATGTCGGGAGGTATCGTAGGCTGACCCAAAGCATGTGTGAAGTCCAGCTTGATGGGGATTTGGCAGCTCTCTTAGACATTCAGAGAACTTTGCTCAGCTAATATGCGGTTATTGTTGAAAAGCCTATGGCTAAGAATGTGTTTCCTGGATAAGCAGAAGTAAGTCTTCAATAGTGTATCTTGTCAAGGGTAATCACGAAAAAGACAGTTCATCTTGCATGCGCTGCACATTTCACCTGTGCTGAGAGCCACCCCCGTTGCTGGCTTGCTTATGTCTGTGCTGCACTGTGTGTGTCTGCTCTCTCTCTCTCTCAGACAGCCTCCTGGGGTTTATATCTGCCTAGTGTCTGTTGCTGTGTAGAGCCTCAGCCTGCTTCCATTGGATCACCTCCTGGTTTTCACAGCCTTAATCTGATACTGATGTTATACTGCTCTCTGCTCATTCTTCTGTTCATGTCCCTTTAGACCCTCTTTGTTCAAAAACGCTCTTTAATGTCCGTTGCTTCTGCGGCTGCTGCTGCGTGCTATTCAGTAGGAGACAGAAAGCCCTTTCGTCCTGGAGTGAGAAACTTCACTGTCATGAATAAAGACAACAGATGATATAGAGAGCAAAGGGTTACACATCTGCTCAGTGGTCGGAGTTGACTGAAAGCTTTTAGTGGTACTTTCCCCTCATGGTTCAGTTATTTTCCTGTGAAATGTAAATTTAAAAATAAAAAAAGTCCTTGGATGCCATTTCTCCTGTGATGCTGCACAGGCTGTCAGCGCTGCTAGTTAAAATACCATTCATTCAAGTAAACATCAAACCCTACTTAAAAGGGCATCAGCTTTGCTGGATACCTAAGTTCTGTGGCAGCTTGACCAGAAGTGTTGGCTAAAATGGCTGTTGAGGTTGTGGTTTTTTCTTCCCAGTGGGAGCTGAAAAACGAGGATGTGCATTTTGTTTGTTCCGGGAGCTACTCCATCTGCTTGTAGTACTCGGTCTGCGGAGAGATAAACTCCCCCTCTTTTACACCTTTAATGTCTCTGCTTCATTGCAAATAGCCACTTCCACTGGACTCGCTGCCACAGGACTCTCCTGAACATGATTACTTCAAAGTTTCCTATTTTCACAAGTGCTTCCGAATGTGTTACTTGATGATGGTAATGCTGCTGTGGGTTAATAAATGTTACAGACATGCAAAACCTGTTTTTGTCATGTTGGAATGGAAATAAAGCTCCCGTTTGCAGCTCAGTTAGCTTTTGCCGTTCAATTCAGACAACTGAACTTTCATGCAAGTTGATCATGCACACCAACACTTTTTTTCTATATTTCTCACATACAGGAAACACCCCCCCACATACACACCTTTTATTCTGCTGCGAGACACCCTGCACTCTTGTCACTTCCAGCATCGAAGAACAATTGTGAATTCTGTAACCATAACACCAGTAAATGGATCACATGTGAAAACGAAAATTCAATTTTATTGGTGTTTCCTCAAAGCCCCGACTGCCACCCAGAGTAAAATATATGGTTTGTCATGCCATTATTGCTTGTTAACTTCCATTAACTCTGAGTGGTGGAAGAAGGCTGCAGGGTTTCTACCCTCCACTGAAGTCCCCTCACGTTAATAGGGAATGAAAACGTGGTAGTTATGAAACAACTCAGACATGGAGAAAACCAAAATCTACACCTCATCTAGCTTATTAATATTACCTGCATTGACATATTCCTGCATCTTTTGACACCTTTGTGGATGCCAGCCACATACTGTCACTTTGGTATGGAGGTCCATTTCTGCTAGGAAAAGGAAAAAGTAGATGTAAGGTTAGTCAAAATGAAAGTTAGTAAATCAAAATTATGATATAAAAAAAAATCTCAATCTCATTTATATGTTGTATTTTTTTCATTACTTTCATTACAATAATTTTGATGGTCAAAATTTTTAATGACCATTTTTTTTATCACGACTAACTTTTTTATTTTCTTGGCAGAATATACTTTCGTATGTAATTAGCGTAATAATACAATATTTAAAGATCTAAGATCTTTACTTTATTGACCATATAAATATTTATATTCATAAATTAAGAATTTGGGGTTATTGATACTGATCATACGGGGCTGTTTAATTGTTGTAAAAGTTCAATCTAGTTTGTTTTTCTTATGTGACTATATTAAACATGTTAATTTGTTTGAGAGTAAAAGCAGGTTCCAATTTTGTGTCTTCATTTTTTCTTTTTGGGTTGACCTTTTTTTTTCTTAACATTTGAGTAACACTATCTCATTGCGTCTTCAATAGTATAACATTGAGACATCCATTATGATGAATGGTGCAGCTAAGCTATATTATATTGATGCCTTGTGATGAGTGAATTTCTCTGATCTTTGCTCGCAGCTGACTGTTATTGATTGGGGTTAGAGGGTTTCCTCTCCTCTGGACTCTGGAGCCCAGTGGGTCAACCATTAACAGTGTAAGGGGTCAACTAAGTAAAGTCAGAGGTCACTGGTTATGCCTCTGCACAGCCCACGTCTGCACAGACTTTGTAGGCAGAGCTCCCATGTGAGGTAACACTGGTTCAAAAAGAAAAAACGCATGAGGCAGCAACATTTAGTTTAGTTTCTATATTTAAATTATTTAATATAAAATTGAAATTAGTTAAGAACATATCACCAAATATTATATAATTGGAGGTAATAACAGTCATAAAAACAATTCATTGAGGTTGCTCCTTTTGCTTATCACATCACACATTTTTACTAAGCCCTTAGGCATAATACTACAAACAGTGCACACAAGATGAATAATACTGCTTATTGTGAACTCAACACAAGGTTTTTGTTTTTAATTCATGGAGCAAACGTTTTCAGTGTGTATTCATAGACGTCTAAGTAGAAAGGAGTAGCGATCAATGCTACCAGCCTACAGATGATCTCACACCAACCCACAATATTTCTGTTGCACAAATGCCATGTGTAAGGCAGATATCTCATACAGAACACGGGCTTTCCTTTCTTCCTCCGTCCTTCGCCTATTTTGTAGACTGAAGAGTGCCGTGGAAGCATAATCCTCTGAATAAACCCCACAGAAAACAGCAGAATTTGCTGCTGCTTTTATTATCACTTAAATACAGTGTAAAATAATGTTTAATGTAGCTTTCATGTTCAGGCGTGAGACACACTTTTGGCAAAATCATGCACCAGTGTTTTTAACTCCATTAATTTCCCGCTTTTCTCTCACACTGGCCTTCTCAATTGCTGTGCAGTTGCTATGGCAACCCCTGTTCCCCCCCCCTCTCTCTCTCAGACCTCACAAAGCAGCCTCCCTAAACCTTAATGAATGATGGAAAGTTGTTTCCCTCTTAAACACAATTATAAGCTGCAAATAATTTTCTTTTCATATGCCGTCACACCGAATTGATTGCATGAAGGCCTCTTGCATATTCAAACAGCAATAATAATGGACGGTGATGTAAGGCTGCGCTGGTGAAATGGATGGTATTTCCGTGTGAGGATTAGTATTATTGATTAGTTTATAATCCCTGTGTGTTGAGCATTAAAAAAGTAGTTGGGTGATTCATGCAGCCTCCTCAATAAACCTACCACAGGCCGTTTTCCTATATTTAAGCAAATATAAGGTTGACGGATCTTGGCGTTACCCACTGTATGATAATGAATGGAATTATTAATAGGATAATGTAATTACAGGATACCCATCTCTATATCAAGAGCTGATGAGGTCTCTCTTGTCTTTTTAAGGATGATATATTTGGCTAATGCTTGGCTTTTGTCTGAGCTCAAATGCAGTGACAACAGGTGGAAACAGTTTAAGAAGCATCTTTATTTGCCTGTATATATTAAATACAATTGTCCTCTCTTTGTCTGTCAATGCTACACCAGTATTTTCCATTCAACTGGTAGGTAAGACCCAGCTGTTGGAATCACTGCACTACAGTGTGAAGTCCATTATCATGCATTAATGGAAACCCACTGTCAGACCATATCTTTGTCACCCCAGGCCACCCAGCGATCCATAGCGTGTGTCATCACCCTTTGGGCTCGATGAGACCCTGTTTGTGGCTTTCTTTGATCTGATCTGCAACCGGGTGCAAAAAGCATTTTCATGTGGCCGTGCCTTATTTTGTCCCTTATTTTTATCTTTCTGAAAGGCATCCGTCTCTTCATTTCTTACATGAGAAGAAAGCAATATCGAGTATAATCTCATCAACAAATACATGAAGATATAAAACAGCCATCTTTCACCTTATACATGACAGGAGAAGAAGAAGAAAGGAGTTCTTCACCACAGTATATCAGGAGTTCACAGACCATTAGCTGCTCTGTACCATAAATGTTATGCAGATCTGTCCTTCACTGTTGAATCCATCATTAAACATATGCCACCATCCAGCAACAAACACGGCAAGTTAAAGGAAACAGTCCACAGCGTATGGAAGAAGTATACAGAAAGCTATTTTTTTAATAAACATAACCTTCCCTCCATTACAATAAATATTTCATCAGACTAAATCTACAAAAACATACTCTCAAACTCTAAAACCATATCTAAGATACCTGGAGTATTTACCTGGAATATAAATGAATTCATGTGGATGGGCATATAACAACATTTAGTAACGCAGTGCATGTTCACAGTTTGTAGGCTTACCTATACACTTCTCATTTTGTCTGTTATACTTTTATGTACCAAGCCTGTGAAATATATGACAGTTTATTTCATAAATTATTTTAGAATAAAAAGTAAAATTTGTGTGACTTTTATAACATCTGAATAAACTTACACTGATTTTAAGTGACATCAGTTGTCTATGAATATGATTTATAATACACTTAGAGAGAAAGGAAACGACAAGGAGTACCTTTGGATGTTTGGCCACAGGTAAAAAAGATCAAACGGTGCATTCGGCTCTGATAGACCACTAAACAAGAGGAGATGCTTGACAAAAAAGAGAAGCAGAGCACTTCATCTCACCAAATCTTTGATATCTAAGGCCTCAGGTATTTCATAAAAATGCAGTATCCAATTCCCGATTTTCATCTGCTTTGTTCTTGCTCATGCCTGAAACGTACTGCTGCTTAATGTCCAAAGGATGCATCTGTATGTGCTTTCTGCCTGTACATTTTATACGTTTGCTGCTGCTTTGTTCTGTATAAACAGAGAGATAGTGTCGTGACAATAGTACAATATAAAACAGTCCTAAACATCCTTGATAAGAAATACCCTTTTTGCAATCACAAAAAGTCTTTGCGGGTCGGACTAAGCTACCTTACAGTTACAAATCCAAATGGAATGTTTCTTTGTTCCTTGTTTGACATCGAGGCAGGATTGATTCAAAAATATTTTGGTCCGTCTTCTCCAGCATGTTACTAAGCCTTGAGTTAAAACCCTTTTCCCAGATTTGTCAGGAAATATTACGCAGCAGTACAACAACAACAAAAAAACATCTGTGTCTCAAGAGCTGTTCACGTTATCAGAACATGAGCATTACTGTATGAGGCATGAACATTATACTTTATCCCTGAAAGAACACCACCATCGTCACCATGGTGCCTCTCAATGTCTCCCATCTCACCGCACTGCGCTTTCCAAGCATTTCTCAATCTGAGAAATGAAAAATAAATGTTATTTGTCAATGTCTTTACTTTTTGAAGTGGATGTCTTCGTGCCTGATGATCTTGTAGGTGACCCAGTAGAAGACGTTGAAGATGAGGAACGCCAGAGGAAAGGCAGCCCTGGAGATAGTGTCTATCCTCTTGGCTCTGTCCACAAACTTCTTCCTCATGGTGTCTATGTCTTTGGGGACTGATGGTTGAGGGTTTGGAGCTGGAGCAGCGTTCTTAACGGCTGAGCCATCCTTCGTTGGCAGACACTGACTCATATTGTAGCCAGCAAAATTAAAGCGCCCTTCACGCATATCATCATCCTGAAAGAAAAAAAAAAACCACACATGCACATGTGGACAAAATGAACTCACTCAAAAAGAATTCAGCTTAAATTGTATGCTTTACTTCTCACTGGCCACTGGCTGAGCACAGTGAACTTACATGAACATTAACTGAGCGATATTACAAACACTTTTAAATTGAAGAAGATAACCTGATGCACTAATGATAAACCATTTAGAAAGTCCTGCTTAGGGGATGAATCTTAATTCAGGTAAATAATAATGTTATGCTATAATATCCCAACAAGAGTCTACAACAATGCTAGCAGCAAGCCACAGCGGGGCTTCGAGCTAAAAGCTAATGTCAGCATGTTAACAGTCTCAGCTAAAATTGAGAATGCTAACATGGTGATGTAAAGATAAGTTAAGTTAATTTATAACTTTATATATCACATTTCATACAGGGTAAGCGCAATGTGCATCGCAGCACATATGAGCAAGATTTTAAAAAAGCATGAATACATTGTTATTCAAATTATTCATCCCCTGTTCACCTACATAAACATACCCACCAACAAATGCCAGGTAGACAGGCAGAAAGATGGAGGCCCTAGTTAGCCATAGGCCTGAGAGAACAGGTGGGCCTTAAGCTTGCTTTTGAAACACAGCCCAGTCGTAATACATCTGATATCGTCATGCAGTTTGTTCCGGAGAATGTTTAGCAGATATGTTCACGATGTTCCCCATCTGTAGAGTGTTAGTGTGCTAACATTTGTTAATTAGCAGTAAACACAAAGTAAGTCTAAGAATAGTCGTCGTGTTATGCTGCACAGACTGTAAAGTACCTGAGGGGTACATGAATTTTTGCACCGAATTTTAAGGCAATCCATTCAATTGATATTGAACTTAAAAACACTGTTTTTAAGGCCTACATTATTTGGGAACCATGAATGTCTGTGCCACATTCTGTGCCAATTCATCCAGTAGATTTCACTGCATTAGTGAAAACCTTTACTTGTTAATGGCGCTAGAGGAAAAGTCAAAGGCTCACCAAAGTCATTATTAATCCTTTCAGTAATATGTGTGTTCAAAATGTAATGTCAATCCATCCAATATAGTAGCCAAGATATTGGCAGCTGACCGATTGACATATCCTTAGAGGCAGACCACTAGTGTGGCTAAAAAGT